GATGTCCGCCATATTAGATAATACTTGTTCTATAAACCTGCAAAGCTGATAGACAAACCCAAAAATACTTGCAGCTGTACAGTGGTTTGACATGTTTATATATGAGGGGTGAGATATAAATGTAATATGCACTTTCTAGATTTTCAACTTTTTTTTACCTAAATCAAATAAAATCCAAATATATTAAACTTAAGTTTGTGATTCTGACTTGAATAAATCTACAAAGGCTCAAATGGTGTGAATTTCTCACATAAGAAACAAAATCTATGCAATCTGGGACTGGTGTACAGAACAGGATTAGGGCCACTGGAAAAAAAAATGAAAGAAAAAAAATTTAAGTGAATTTTAAATTTTATTTCAGTATATTCTGAGAAAAAAAAAGTCAGAATTATGACTTTTTCTTCTCAGAATTCTGACTTTAAAGAGAAAAAAAGTCAGAATTCTGAGATTAAAGTCCGACTTTAATCTCAAAATTCTGACTTTTTTCTCATATTATACTGAAATAAAATTCAAAATCAGTTAATTTTTTTTTTTCAATGGCCCCAATCCTCTTCCGTAGTGTTGGGACCACAGTATGGAAACCATCGCCATAGATTTTACAAAACAAAGCTGTTAGGAGGGAATCCTTGAATGGGGAGCAATAGCCACGTCTTAACAAGGGAATTGCAGAATTTTTACATCACAAGCAGCTGGGATTGCACCCTAACAGCCAATTAGTCTGTCTCCATTGTTTGTTTTTTTTCACCAAGACTTTTTCTACAGGAACCAGCACTCCAGCAAGCTGCACTCACCAGTGTAACCCAGTTCATTCACATTCTCTCTACTACCTTGGAGCAGTGCCAGCTGGAAAGCAACATCCATAGATGTCAGAAGACAAGCACTCACCATGATTTAATCCGTGGATATGGCTGGAAGAGTAGCTGGCCGTAACGGAGAGGGAGGCGTGTGTGCAACAAATGTGCAGAGTCTGCAAAGAGAAGAGAATGAGGGGAAAGAAGCATCAGTGGACAGGTAGCAACAGGTTGGGAGCAGAGCTGGAAGCTGGATGCCAAACAGTGGTGATGAATGCAGCTCCTCTGCTGCAACAGGAGTTACACTTCAGCTTAATTTGGCATCACTTTTCCACACATTGAATGACAATCACAGATAAACCGCCACTTTGCGGCTGACAAAGGCAATGTTTGCTTGTCTTTGTTCCAAGTTTACACGTCCTGGATATAAGAGTGAGGAATAGATCTTGCCGACATGCCTTGATGAGGTTCCAAGTCAGGAAGGTGGAGAGAAGTTTGAGGTGGCTGCAGCCGGCCAGCGGGATGGGTACAGTCCATATCAGCAGAGCAAGGAGGTCCATGGTGATGCATGCAGGCTGACAGGTTACCTCCGAGAAGAGCGTAAAAGCAGCAACCTGTGGCAGCGCATCATGCAGCGAACCGGCATGGTTTGCTGGTTGTGTTCCGCTCTGAGCGCTCAGGTGAAGCTCAGCAGTGCGCGTGTTTCAGGTGGGAGCGTGTGTTATGACGCGGAGCGCAGCGCGGAGGAGCAGGGCGGGTTATTGCGGGGCAGGAGGCGCAGACTGGGAGCCACACTCCGTCCGGCTCTGGGAGAGACGCTGTGCGGGATGGTTCATAAGTCAGCAGCAGGCAGCCAATCAGCTCGCAGCATCATCGGCCACGCGAAGATGAAAGAAAAGGAAAGAAAGAGATTCAAAGGCAGCTCGGAATTTTCATGTTCCAGCGCTCAATGAGAGGATTACCAGCATGAAAAATGTAAAATACATTTTAAATTTATAATGAGAGTTTTCTTTCCTCTAGTTATAAAACCACGACAAAAATTCGACATTAAACTAAATACTGAAAACTGGGGTCCAAAGACAAAAGAAAAACTTTTTTTTAACATAGATAGATAGATAGATAGATAGATAGATAGATAGATAGATAGATAGATAGATAGATAGATAGATAGATAGATAGATAGATAG